GTGCAATAGAAAAATTCTTCAGTTAGATTTATCTTATAGGAATTGTTGAGGGTGGCAAAGCTGCAATCCCATAAGATGGTTTGAAACACGCACTAAATAAATGTCCATCTATTCACTTACCTTCTGGCACCTCGTTCAGGTCCATCACATAGACACACAGAGGACAAACAATCATGTCAACGCCCATAGATTGACGGCATTGGAAATTAACCTAAGATGTTTTGGTACTGAGGGAGGATGTCAGAGTACCCAGTGAGAGCCCACAAATGCACAGGGAATACATACCTACATACATAGATAATGTTTACATACATAAACAGTGCTCTGTTAGTCAAGCAAATGCCAAATGTCCACTGTAGGGCACATACAACCAATTGACATGGGAGTTCAGATGTGTATTTAAGAGGGAAGATGACGCCTAAGGTAAAAAAAATAAAAATAAACCTCATGATTCTTGATGAAGCAAGATTCTCTGGCATCTAAGATAGAAAAAAAAATCCTCTAATGTTGCTTCCTTTCCTCTCACACAATGCATCATCTAGAAACTTGCTTCAGACTCATCTGTAGACCAGTGAAGATGTTTGATTTGAATGCAGACTAAGTGCTAATTGGTGAAAAAAAGGAGAATAAAGTCAAAGTTTGTTTTGGCTTTAGCTTGATACTTAGGAGAAGACCACCTCACCAAGATTGTGTTGACTAACACAAAAAAATATATATGACTTGATTGCAGCTGCATCTTTTGTCATAATAAGGTTAACCCGTGGCATCCAATGCTGTTTTGTTAAGTATGGAGAATTTCCCTGTGTAAATGGATTATTATTTACCGCCCGTAGCCTGCAGATGAGAAACAGGTCACACTTTAAACCAGTATTTTTCACTGACATACAAAACCCCTGGAGGATGAAAACTTCATTCCATCGCTTTTGCTGCAACTCCTCGACTGAAAAGACACAATGGCTCCTGAAATCATAAACAGTGCTGATGAAAACAGATCAGGTTTTGTAAATACTAAATAGTGCAGTAGTGCCACTGTTTAAAGTGTAAAACTAGACTTTCCCACAGGGTTTCTTCTGTATTTGCCAAACTTATGCTTCCAGTAGTCTATGCACAGCATCAGGTGATGTAACAATAAGGTGGAAAGCTGTAAAGGTTTATTGACAGTTTGGTAAATAACATTTGAAAAAGGCCCTCCAAAACAACAGCAGTGCAGTTTGGTCGTTAAATGCTGTATCCATTGAGGTAAATAGTTGCATTCTTATGTGGCAGAACCTGCATTCTCCAGAATGAATTAAAAATCTCCAACTCGCGGTTCCAAAAACCTTACTGAGGGTACTTATCCCTTTCTCTGCTTAAGACCGCTGCAGATGCATGTCCGTTTTAGTCATAAGAGGGAACATTAAGCAGAAAGCATGTGAATATAATTCTCAGCACAGATATTTTTCAATTAGTGTTATTTCATGTGAACTTTAAAGCTTGAAACACCACACTCTTTGATATGCTCAACCCTACATAGTACAGCCCTTTTAAGAATTATATGACGAAGAACTCATCTAATACCCAAAGGAACCACAGAACTTTTATGAAAGCAAAAGAAAAGACTTCACTGGCAGAATATATTTCTGTAGCAAACTATTTCTGCACATCGCATCTTATTGGGGGAAGGGAAATAAAGCATGCATAGACTTAAATGCTCAATTTTAAATTCAGTATTTATATCTGAGTTACAAAGCAATTTTATATAATGGATAAAAATTGCTTTAAAATATATTTATTCTATTTTATTCTAAATGTAATTTTTTTCATTCACATGTCCTGTTCTGGTTATTACTAGAACAAGTTGTAAAATAAAATTAAATAAATAATTTACTATTATAGCAGCATAATTGTAACTTTTTTTTTTTTTTTTTACTATTTTTTTATATAAACTCTAATTTCAGCACATTTATTTAAGAGCTGCATGGTGGAGAAGTGGCTTAGCACTATTGCCTGGCAGCAAGAAGAGCCTGGGTTCATGCAACCTCTTTCTGCATGGAGTTTGCATGATCTCAGTGTGCCTGTTCACCTGTTAGATGAAGACATTTTCTATTGGAGGGGAAAGTGTTTGAACGACCGCAGTTAAATAAAACTGGTTTAGAAGGTCAACACAGCACTCAGCTGGATTGTGTCTATTATTAAAGCCACTCTGAAAGGGTCTTGCTTTGACACAGGTTGTGAGTTTCATCGTTGACTTACTGATTTAAAATGACTATTTGGACAGTTGGACAAAACAAACCAATCAGCTGGGATCAACATTAACCTGAGGCAGAGACAAAGAAATGTTTCAGTTTTTTTGAAGGTTTTTTTTTACATCTGACCAATAGAATCCACTACCCTCTCAGATAAATGAACGGGCAGAATTTTTAAACTCAACACTCACAATCTCAAAACATGACTTTTAGGTTAATTGGTCTCTCAGATGTTGTCCATAGAAATAAGTTTGTATTTCTGTGTTGAGATGTGATGAATCTGGACAGGTTGCCAGACGGATAAAGAGCTGGACCTTTAGATAGTGTGTTTATGTGTGAGTCAAACAAAATAACACATTTCATGATAAATGCACCTGCATACAATTAGTTTCATAAGTAAATTGAGCGTTTTCTTTACAGCATTATTTACTTTTTAGAATGAAGATACAAAACCGTTTGTAAAAATATATAATGTAGAGAATATATTTTTGTAGCCAGCCTAAATAAGGGGGAAACACATGAGAATAAAATGATTATACCAAGGAAAGTAATAAATAGGACATTTAATGCTGAGTTTTGAAATCTGCAAACCTACAAGAAACCAACCAAATTTAACATGATCAACCCAATCAAAAAATGTAGAGGTTTATCCTGCCCTCACGTATGGGGAGCAGGACGATAAAGGAAGGTTAAAAATCTGTTGAAGAACTGCTGCAAGGAGTCTTTTGGGGTCACCAAGGCTCTATAGCAGCCATGCAAATGGGAAATTTTTTTTATTAATCTTGTGGCATTTGTGACAGAAAAACATGACTGGGTCTTATAGGTAGATAATGATCCAAGAACTTATTTAAAGTTCTTGGATCATTATTTAAATGAATTATTCTGTCCTAAATAATCTATAAAAACTTGTGTGTAGCATCCTGAATGGAGGAAACATAATAGAGGTTCATCAAGTTTTGTCCAGTTTGTGATTTATCTTTATCTTTATGGCTGTCTGTGTTTAGGTTTCCTGTTTGAGTGCCCCATCAACAGAAAGTATAATTTTACTTTCATTTTATCCAATTGTTCTTTGGTTGTTTGTCATCATTACTTAGAAATAAAAATACATTTAATTCAGATGTGGTCATTTTCAGCTTGACAGGGAGGCTTAGGCAGAAATCCTCTGCTTGTTTTTTTTTTTAAAACCTAAATGAGTGATTAAAAAAAATTATCTTATTTTATCTACATTTTGAATGACATTTTAAGTAAAAAAGTTTAAAGTAAAAAAGTACATTTAAAGTAAAAAAGAATCAATTATGTTGAAAAAAGGCAAAAGAATTAAACAAAAACTATCAATATTTTGTCCAATGTCAAACAGAGGATGAAGAACAGGAAGTACTTGCAACCGCACACCTCTGCCTCAGCCAGCATCCTGCGCTGGTTACCATGGAAGCACAACCCTGCACCAATAAACTGCAAGCTCTGCTCGCTGCTTACTCTATGCAATGCTGTTCTTTATTACAGGGAACAAAGGAAGCTTGAAAAAAAATGTCTCTCCACCACAAAACAAGCATGCACCAAAACTCATAGGTTCCACTTTCAGTCAGACAGAGGGCGCATGCAGCAAAGGAGGCGCGTGTGTCGTTATGTGTGCATTTCAGTACATGAGCTCAGACAACTGCCTTGCCACAGACTGTAGCTGTGCAGGTGTGAGAGACAGGGCGCAGGAATTAGAGCAGCTTAACAGAGCAACAGAAAATGGTGACATAAATGGAATATGACTCAATTGTGGTCGAGACACACATCATGCTGGGTGAATTGAACATGTTTGATGTGTTAAAATTAGGCTTTTCTACTGTGATATTCATTCCTCATAAATTTTAATTAGTAACGAAAAGAAATTAGGCCTTTTAAATACTTCAAATAATCTTTGAATGGCACCATTTTGCAACAAAAGCGGATTAAAATAAAGTTTGTCATGAAAACCTATCAAAGTCAAGCTGTAACTTGTTTCATAAAGTTCTATTGTGAAATAAATTTAAATAGGTAATCATTTAGGTTTAATAAAAACTAAAAGTCAAAACATATCACCATTTTGTAAATACAGAAAAAGAAGGAAAGTTAGCTAGAAAAACAGATTATAGAGGGTGAAGTAAAGCGACGCTGTCAATAATTGACTGATGATAACGCTGCAATAAAGGCGTCCTTTCATCAGCTGCAGCAGGGACAGTTTTCCTTTTTAAACCTCCAACTTCCCTTTTTTATTTTGGAAAAAAAATATACAACTTTTTCTGAGCTTTTTCTTGGTTAGTCTGTGGACGGAACCTGAATTCAAACAACAGAAACACAAAAATATCCTCATCTTTAAACTATAAATAGACCTCAGCGGTGTGTAGGAGATGACCAGAGTCAAACATCCACCCTGAAAAGAAGTTTAAACAGTCCAACTGGGGGTCTTTTTTTGTTATATCCTTAAGATATGTTACTGTAGAATAGACTTTTTCTTACCATTTTGTAGTTAGAGATGACTTATCAATGAATAGAATGTTCCATGTCCAGCTATTATTCCTTAGTAGCCCGTCTTGCTGCTCAAACAGCCATATTACCTGTGACTAAACTTACAGAAAAGGAGGAAATGATCTGCAAGTCAGCGTGGGCAGCAGGGTGTTTGCAAACGACACTATATGATGTCAGGCGGGGGGTTTCTTTCCTCCCCTGTTTGTTTCTGCGTGCTTGATAAAACGTAGAGTTACTTAAAATGCCAAAAAAAAAGCACAGTTTTAGTGAATCACATAATAAAGGCAAACTGACCATTTATTGTTCCTGTATTTATGGAGGTCCAGAAGGTTAACAGTAGGAGAGAATGTAAAATTAAACATAGGGCAAATGAATGGGATCTAGGTACAGCCAAAAATGATCTCTGGCAAAAACTCCTTAAAAACAAATAATGCATTTGCTAAGCTATTATTTACAAAAAATAATGTCACTCAGTTTATGAAGCTTAAATGATATTTAAGAATATTGTAATCAGTAATACAAATGGATGTACAATAACTGATCAGTAGATATTGCAGATTGTTCATTTTCACGAGTTCTATCATAAATGTAAGTCTATAAAACAACTTTTCTTTAAGGGCCACTGAGAAATTTTTCAGATGGTTGATGTTAAGAAAAGTGAAGTATTAATTTATGAAGATTCTTTAAGGGGAGCAGAAAAAACACCAAATAGTACAATTCTTTGATGTGTTGAGTCTTCATCTCCATTTTTGATCAAAAAATATATATGAGTCGATTTGGATTTTCTGACCGTAAAGTTAAGCATTTCCAATTATATCCAGTTCATCCAAGGAGGGGGTTGTCGTCCATCGCAGGGGCTCCAGGTGCTCCGGCCATTCCATTAGGCATAGCGATGGAGTTTAAAGGATTGGGATATTGGTTAAGTGGCTGGGGGGCAGTTGGGCTCATCATCATCACAAATCCAGGTTGAGGCTGAACTACAGCAGGGGGCGCCAAAACACCTTGTGGCCCCCCAGCTGGCATTCCAGGAACAGAGGGCCAGAACCCTGTCTGGTTGCCCAGAAGACCCTGCTGACCCCAGGGCATTGGATTTGGAGATAATGGTGGAGAGATGTATGGGGAGCCCCCTGGTGGCTGTCTGGGGAACATGGAGAGAATCTGAGCGGTGGAGAGGCCTTGCTGTGGAGACTCTGCAGGAGAAGCTGAAATAAATCCAAAAGTTATTCTGCAATATAATCACTACACAATGCATGAGGTCTCATGTTTTGAAAATTAAACATGTCTGCATTAATTCATGAGTTAACTCATTCCTTTCTTTTCCCCTGCAAATTCACACACAATACAGCAATAGTGTGACATCCTTTTTAGTCTGTGCAGATCTGCACAATATTATGCTGGACAACCGGATTTAGATAGATGTTCCGCAGTCAGATGAACTTAGTATTATTGTGTGAGGAATCCACCGCTCTTGTCTTGTCACTTTAAAATCTGGCCCTTGTTTTACCTTCCATCAGTGCTCCATGTTACATTATTTTTTTTTTATTTGTTTGTTTTTAAGCCCTCTTAACTACAAATTAATGCTACCATAGCTTTTAAGTAATAACATTTTTTTCCAGCTGCAGCAAAGTCTATGCCTGTTTGGTTTGACATTGACAGACCTAATGATAAGTGATATCAAAATTTTTTTTTTTTTATAATTTTGTTTGCTCATAAGCCTCTGTATTACTTTCTGTAGTTAAGCTTAACAAATTCCCAAAACAGGGGGAGCCTGGGTTGTTTTCCTGACATTAAAATATCTCTGCATTCTTTGCACAGTAGCAGTGATACTATCAGACATGCTGACTTTTTGGAACAGCCTTTTACAGGTGCCGATGTTAAGAGGTAAATATATTCAATATGTTTGTCTAAAGTACTTTTGCATACATTGTATACATTCAATGTCATATTTAAATACATGTGCTGCACAGCTTTTTACTTTATTATCGGCTGTAATCTCTTCCCTTCCGCTCAGAAATAGCCACAACTTTTAGACTCACCCTCCTCTATGTGAACGGCCCACAGGGAAATCCAGAATGGATTCACTCCAAAATATTGTTTTAATAAACTCTGATATAGCTATTATTATAAACTAATGAAAGAGTAATGGTCTAGGTCAAGTAGATCCCAATAACATCCAGAGCACAAAAACAGCAATTTTCTCAGAAAGATTAATCTACAGAACTCGAAAGGGAAATTCTTAAATTTGATAAATCTGAGAAGTCTGACATAAAAACCTATCATTTCTGAATTAAACTGAGTTTTTGGCTGATTATTTCTTTAAAGGTTTCAGACCCTACCATCATAATTAATTAAAAGTAAACAACACTACTTATATGATATGTACTAATCTTACAAAGTCTGTTAATATTTTGGTTGAAACTTATATCAGACAAGATTCTTAGTAGATTTGTACCAAATGAAAGTTACTGGAATATGGTACTTATAAGAACAATAAATCAGGTGACATTTGACTGTTAAATTATTACCAAATTTTGTGTTTTTCCTGAATATTTAAAGACTTTTTAATACTTATACTCGTCGTCTTCAGCTTATCTGGGACTGGGTCGGGCGGGCAGCAGTCTCAGAAGAGACTCTCAGACCTGCCTCTCCCCATATACCTTCTCCAGCTCCTCATGGAGAAGCCCGAGGCACTTCAGGGCCAGCCGAGAGCATCCCACCAGGGTGTCCTGGGGGTCTCCTGTCCCTTCTTCCATGCCTACAACACCTTCCGAGGGAGGCATCTAGGGGGCATCTGGAACAGGTTTCAGAGCCACCTCAGCTGACTCCTGACCGAGCTCCTCACCCTATCTGTACAGGAGTTTCCAGCCACCTTGCAGAGAAAGCTAATTTCAGCCGCTTGTACTGGAATCTTGTTCTTTTGGTCATGAACATAGACCAACTGGTAAATCAAGAACTTTGGCTTTTGGCTCAGCATTCTCTTTATTACCACAGACCAGTGCAGCATCCACATTTTTGCAGCAGATGCTTGGATCTGTCTATGAGTCTCCCGCTCCATCCTCCCCTCTCTCATGAACCAGACCCCAATCTCCCTGAACTCTTTCCCTCGAGGCAGTAACTCTCCTCCATGCTGAGGGGAAAAGCCACCTTTTCTGGTCGAGAACCATGGCCTCATACTTGGAGGGGCTGATTTTCAGCTGTAAGACCGACCAGTAAATTGAAAGTTGATTGCATAAGTCATATCTGTCCAAAATTGTTGTATCTAACTTGATCATCCACTTGTTTTGCTGATAAACTGTACAGGGTCGCTTATTGTGTTGTCTACATGTCTGGGGCATTGGCAATTTACTCTGTTTGTGTGTCTGTGTGTCTAATACTGTCACGATTTGGTTAAAAGGTTTAGATTGGACCCAAACGCAGAAGCTGGGAGGCAGAGGTGAATTCTTGGAGGGTTTATTGCAAGATAAGGCAACAAAAACAGGTATCCAAAAATCCAACTTAAAAAATGGTAAACAAAAACAGGAATCCAAAAATCCAACTTAAAAAATGTTTAACAAAAACAGGAATCCAAAAATCCAACATAAAAATCAAACACTAACCAGAACCATGGAGACATCAGGGAAAAACCAACAAGGAGCCAGGGTGAGGAAAGGTAAAGACGAGGAACCAGCAAAGAGGGACTGCAGAGGGAGTGTATTTATGGCTGACTGAACAAAGGTAGAGGTAATGAGCTGATAGGGAACAGGTGTGATTAGAGCTGACGAGGAAGCCAAGGGAAAAGAACACAAGGAGGCAGCAGGGGACAGACAGAAAAACCTAAGCAACTTAAATGAATCCAGACACACCAAAAAAGCTAGAAATCAATGAAAAACCTGGCTAAACTTGAAACAGAAAACTTAAAGAAAAACAACAGAACCAAGATCATTACAAATACTATCTTTTTCAGTCACTGCCTCTGCCTCTGTATTCCCTGGTCCACCTAACACCTTCTCTTTTAGGCACATTTTTAAAATGTTAGATGTGGACAGAATAATGTTCTGTTATACGGATAAGTTAGAATAAAGGAAAAACTTCTGTCTTAATCTCCCCTTATCCACAAAACTGACTACAAAATGTTAAGTTTCCACATGCAATTAAATGTAGACCTCACTGCCTCTAATATGCATGAACCAACACAAACAACAGCAATGGTAGACATAAGATTTGTAGCTCTGTTTTAAAACAAGTTTTCAGAAGCTTTTTGATTTATTTTGAATTTTATATCTACACGATTTTCTCTTCTGTGATTGGTTGACACTCTTCTTCATGCATCGTTTACATACTGCTTCTTTATTCCTTTTCTGCCTTTTTCTTTAGCATTGTTACAGAGCCACACGTTGACTTGGAATTGTTGCAACAACCTCGTTCCTGCTCCTGACTTAATGTTGTTTCATCTTTACACTGAAATATTTCTGTGCAGATACCTTATTTGACTTTGTGTAGATATAGTAGAGACACTGTAATATGTCCTGTTAGTAATTTCAACCATAATTGTACTAGGAGGGACCATATGCAAACAGTTTGCACAAAGTTGGGATCAGGAAAATAAAAGTTAAATCTTCTAATCAGTCAAACTAACCAGGGGTAACTTCAGAGAAAGCACTCACACTATCCTCCTCTCTACACCGAACATCCGAACATCAGACTTGACATTATGCAGTCAGGCAGGAGCCCTTCTCCTGGCGACTACCAAACCCCTACTCAGGGAGAAACAAATTATTACTATAGATAACATGTCTCCACTTCTCTGCTCTCCAATTGCTGCTTGAAGCCTTATGAATGTCTTTTCTAAAAAAACAAAAAAAACAACCATAAATTGACTTTGTATTCAGGTTGGATTCTGCAGGTTGATCTCCACCACCTGTCCTGCACTGCCCTAGTCTATTTATAAACTCCTGTGGTTCTTTGTGCAGTTTCCTGTCATGGTTTAAACATCTCCGTAAACTTTGTTTTATTCTCTGTCTAGTCTTGCCAAAACAAACTGTATTTGCATTCCTTCTCTTTGCTTCCCAAACATGGTTTATCATCCAAACACTTGAATGGCATCCCAGCCATCATTGGAACATTGTTCTGGTCTAACTTTAGATATTTGTTTTACGTGTAGCCGTAGCAGAGGAGGTCAACTTTAACAAACAGAAGTATGAAATTCAAATCAATAAACCTTATGCTAGCCACATGAATCAATGATATCCTCACATTTCCAGACAAAAGAAATCTTGCAGGTGGAGGCAGAGCAGAAAAAACCTCATTGGTACTCAGGTAATCACTTACTTGGCTGGCTTACAGAAGGGATCTGATCTGGGCTCAGAGGCTCTGTCATTGGTGGGGAAAATATCTGCATCAATTCATTACTTGTAGAGGTCTGCAGACAGAAAGGCAAGAACAGAAAGCTTAACCTACAGTTTTACTGACAATAAGCAGAGACAAGGTATGTAATACCTTTACTCTCCCACAGTAAGAAAAATTGGGTGTGGGAGTAAAAACAAGATTAGAAACAACAAAACAAGTCGACATAAAACGAAGAATTAAATAAGATGCGTTATTTTGTACCTGGTTTGTTTGTCCTGATGAGGAGTCAGGTGGTGGATTTAGCACCGTCTCCTCAGCTTCTCCCTAAAAAAAAAACAGGGAATATCTAATCATATCCTTCATATTTATATCTTCAGGGGATACCAGATCTTTTTTTTGACTTTTTTATTTACCATCTCCTGGGAAGCCACACCTTCATTCAGCACCACTAAAGATATATCCTGTAAAAAAAAAAAAAAAAAAATCTAGGTAATAAACAAGCAAGCAGACAAAGAACCATATGAAATTGGCAAAGACATGAATAAGATTTAGTCTGACTGGGGTCTCTGCAGGTTTATGAGAAGTCTCCTGGTCCACACGCTGGCAAACCTCCATGATGTCTGAAAGGATTGGATCTGCCTGGAACACATAGAACAGATAAGTAAATCACTGTTGTAGCTGGTATTAGTCATAGCAATAGCAGGCAGTCATCTAGTCTCAGTCTGTTTAGGCTTCATATAATGTAAAGCTATGACTGCCCTCCTTTTATGATCTTAAAAAAATGGATAACTTACAAACATTTTTTTTGTAACACATATGGACATACAGATCTGTTATGTCAACTTTGTCAAGACTGAATAATTTAATAATGTGGATAAATTATCCATAAAAAGTGATGAATGGAACATTTTAGTATCTTCAGCTAAATAAAAAATTTATGATTTTGTTGTTAAATAGCAGGACTGGGTTTCCTGTAACATCTTTAAAAGTTTTCTATGTGTTTTATCAGATTCATGGTGAGAGACACAGGGCTATTGCAATGAAAAGTCTGTTTGCCTTAGCGATGCTTTCATTTCTGGATTGAAAAGATCAAAGTGTAACTTTCACATAATAAGTTCAATCAAACCACCACACAGATGAAGTTTGGTTGGTAACAATTATTTCTACCATTATTTCCTGTTGCCAGTTAAAGGACTTTGTAAATGTGTCTGAACTGCAGGCAATAATCAGATTTCTTTTGTTTAAAAAAAAATCACAGATACGTGAACATACTGCTGGAAGTTGCAAATGAATTACAATAAAAGGTGCACTTAAAAAAAGAACTGCAGTGAAGGTTTGTGCTTAAAAACGTTGTGTGACTCTTTTCCTAGGCTTAAACAATTAGTTAAAGATGATGCTCAACAACAGTCATTTGTGCTTTGCAATTAATTTATTACAATGAGATTTATATTTATTGCATAAGATATAATTTGTGACACATACAAAGGTTGATTAACCTCTCTTCGATAAACGTAAAACTCATAGTTTTCCTTATTTCATGGCTAACAATGTTTTTATTAAACTTGCTTTGTGAAAAGATGGCTTGTACTTATAAAAGGACCCCAGGTTTAAGGCAGCTTTTGCTCGTCAATATTTAAATGGATTTTCCAGGTGAATAAGGCTAAATCAGGTGTTGATTTGATCTGTTTCCCTAAATTACAAAAAAAAAAACATTTTGTATTCTTAAAGGTATAGTATCCTCTAATATCTTTAGATACAAATTATGCTGAAAGGTTGATCTCTTTATGCACGATCTTGTCTTTATGTAAAATCAAAATATTTGCAATAAACTTAAAGAAATTTATCTGTTTTATCATAAAGGAGTTTATGATCTTTGTGTTTATGACACTTTTTTACCATCTACTCTTATTGATTCTGTTATTAAAATATAATCATGGTAATGTGGACCAGGAAAGTATTTCTCTATGGATGTTAAACAATCTTGGGGACAGTTTATGTGTTCCTTGGTAACAGCACTGAGTGTTTGCACCTGGGTGGCTGTTTTGATGTAAAAGAGGATGTAGGTTTCTTCATGTTTGTAGATGTAGGCCAGAGCTCTGGGGTCCGACTTGTCTTTTGTTACCGAGCTGATCCTGGTTCTGTCTTGGTCATGAAGACAAACCTGACAAAGAAAATACCACACAATATATACAACTTTAAAACTACTATTACAGAACATGAAGTTCTAGTCTGTACAAAAGGAGGAGCTGAGGAAAAGGGTAATTGAAAAATGCTTTATTTGGGTCAAATCTCTGATTGGTGTCCCTTTGCTTTGGCATTCATTTACTTTATAGAGAGGGACAGAGGGAAAAAGCAGTGCCACTCTACAGTAGAAAGCACATCACCTTCTTTAGATTAGAGTTATTAAGGCTTGTTCACTGCAGTTACAGAGATGCTTCCTTGCTTCAAAATTAGGCTGCATGAATACAACTTCAATAAGGGATCACACAGTTTAAAGGAGGCAGTTTAATCAATATATCTGTGCATGTCATTTTTACTCTCAAAAGTATTTATTTCCTGTATTCAAATCAACTAAAAGAATTCTGGAAATTGGTAAAGTTGGGAAGGAACAAAAAAGGATTAATTGTGTTATGTTGTTTTAGCCATCTAGAGACTGTTGAGATTAAATCTGTGATGGTTTACTTACCCCGGTCCGCTCATCCAAAATCTTTAAGCCATTGGAAGAAATTTTCAGCCATATTTTCATCTTGTGTTTTCCCATTTTTCTCTCTGCAACCTCAAAGCCCTTCAATACAAGCATGTAAAAATAATGAACCTGCAGATCACGAGGTAAGACTTAACATAAGAACATATTGCATGTTTAGTTGGTGTTGTTTGTTAAAAATCTGTAGGATCATTGAGCACTGAGTAGGTTTTGGATTTAGTTCTCATGCTGTGTGCCTTTATTTTTTAATCAACCTTATTCCTCCTGCACTGCTCATGTGTTTCATATCATTTAGTATAAGGTAATGGTTTTAGTTTGTGTTCATTTTTTCTTGTTGTTTATATTCTAGCTTTTTTTTGTCATTACACTGTCACAAGTACAGAGCAACGAAATTCACTCTCTGCATTTAACCCATCCCCACAGGGGAGCAGTGGGCTGCGATTGTGCAGTGCCCAGGGAGAAGTGTGGGTTTAGGGGTCTTTTGCTCAGGGAACCAGTGTGGTAGACTGGGGGTATGGGGCTGGAGCTTAGAACATCTGGATTCCAAGTGCAATGCCTTAACTCCTAGGCCACCCCTGTTTATTATGTTCTTACAGATCTGCCATATTCTCTTTTTTACTATGTTTTACCATTGTGCAAGAATTGTGCAAGTAAGCCTGTTTTATTCTGCATACAGAATATGTTGGAGTTGTACAAGGTTTTGGGCACCAGTACTGCTGAGTATGGGATTTCATACTCTTTTTTTTTTTTTTTTCATTTTTCTTTTTTTTTTATATACTGTTTTGTATTTTCAATAACACGAACGACACCATATTTCTTCTCACATAAAGATTTTCATTGGAAATAAAATTATTAGCTCTTAGAAAAGACGCAGCTTATTTTTTTATAACTTATATTTTATCATTTTTTTTTATCCTCCCATTATTTGGTTGTCTCCTCTCAGGATTTCAAAAATCTCTAAAAAAACAGACAAAAAGAAACTTAATGGAATAAAATATGTTGTTTTTTTTTATTTATCAAGATGCCACCAAAAAAGCAAAACTGTACCAAAAACAAAATGCAAAAAAATGTTAAACAGAATATTAATTATTTTATTTTTTTTTTAATTAAGAACAGCAAGAGTATTTGTTTTAAAGGCATTTCAACACTCTATGTAGCCAGTGGGGCTTTTTAGCATCCCTTAGATTTAAGCAGCTCTCATTGACTAAATGAGCACAAGGCTGTCAAGACAAAACAGAGGTAGACTGAGCAAAAGTCTTGAAGCTGCGGACACATTACATAACTTCTGGTTAAAACATTTTTGGGACTTGGTTAAATTCAGACATCCAAATCTAATTTTTTACCCTTTGTTTATTAACCTCTGATGTTTGTATGAATCGTGGACAAATTAAGGAGCTTAGTTATTGACCATCCTAATACATGGATTGTCAGGTATTTAGTGGCAGGTTACCTTCAGTTTCATCATAGAATCCAAACACATTTTTTCTCCCTGTGCCTGGGGAACCGGGTCCATGCCAATCAGCTTGGCCTTGTATCGGACCCCATCTCCTTCAAAGCGGGACCTGGTCTCACTCAGGACCCCTGAGAGTCACATAGAACAGGCAACACTTGAAGACGTGAAGCAAAGGAAACACGGGGGCAGCAAACATTTTTCACCAGCATTAGATGTCTAGAACTCTACAAAGTGCATTGGCGTCTAAAATCCAAGAAGATTATATTCATAAATAAAATACAAAATACATTTTTTTTACACATTTGTACTTGATTAGACTCACAGAAATAGAAAAATAAATCTTGCTCATGGTCACATGTTCTCATTCTCATTTACTTTTTACAACGCTTACCTCAGCATATTTTTCTAAAACTGTCTACTTCAGGTCCATTTTTTTTATATCTCATAAAAACATGATTTCCTTGTAATGGTTAACATGTCAGCAAGCAACATGTGAGCAGATTTTGATTCTCTTTGGTTTCCTAAGAGATAATATCGTGGGCATGTCTCTAGAAAGCTGCAATCTACACATCAAATAAACAGTCATTAATCAGGTCGACACAAAAAGCTTCCGCAAGTTAAAAATATGTTAAATTGTTTCCAGTAAAACCCAGCTGTGTGTTATTGGAAGCTTCTAAAACAGCTGGAACAAAAGAAATTTGTTCCAGAAGTAAACAAAGGAAGAACAAGAGCAAAGAACAGATGACATGGTCCTACCTGGAAAAAAGCTCCTGCTTTCCATCAGAAAAAACAGAACTCGGTGTCCTAGTCAATACTGCAGGGCCATCTTTTATAGGCTCTATTTGCAGCATGCATTGTAAGCATTTGTTCATTCTAAGATAATTAAAATACATAATACCTCTTTGGTCTCCATCATGAATGCATAAAGTTCCCATCTCTTTAAATACATTATGACAATATGCCGTTTACCACATCTTAGCATGTGTTGGAAACAGAATTTACTACCATATTCTGACCAGCTCTGCTGATTTTTTCATTAAACTAAACTTTGACCGAGTGCAGCAGTTGAACTTATGTACCTGTTGTTCTGTATTGAGTCCAGGCTCTGACAGCAGGCTTGCCCTGTGAAGAATTGCTCCCGGCCGTTTGTTCAGTCTCAGTCATTTTTGTTTGGAAATTGGTAGAGTGGCAGCTCAAGATCCTGCCAAAACTTTGCAGCTCTTAGAATTTTTTCACTGCCAAATAAAGCAAATCTCATTTATCATGATGCGAAAAGCAACAAGTAAACATCTTGAAATGTTTGCGATGCAGAAGACAAAATATCTGCTCAGGCTCACCTGTAGGGCGTGCGTCTCTCCTTTGACTCAGCTGCTTGAGCTGTCCCGCTGACAAAACTGCACAGAGTCAAAGGTCAGGCTACAGACTCATGGTGATATATTAACATCTGATGGGAGGCCCGCATGCATGGGAACTCTTTAAGTAGAATAAAAAAGAAATGACAGAGACAACAGACCATACACAGAGCTTTCTCCTTCACTAAGGGCATCTGAGGTCATGCATTTCCCTCAAAGATCAACTCTTTGGTGGTATTTTCTTAAAATAAGTTCACTTCAAATAAAAAAAGACAAAATAAAATAGAGCTACTGAAAAAAAAAAAAAAAAACGGAAGTTCATCTGGATTATTTAAGATTTTATATGTTCACTCATTTAATCAACCTGTATTTTATTTAGGCTAAAACAATATTTTTATAAGAGAAAAATACGAATTAAAGAGATATTTTTTTTAATTCACACAAAATATAAATACAGACAGTTTTATATGCTCACATGTAAACCCACGCACACACAGCCTTGTTTCATGGGGGACATTTCATTGACTTGCATTCATTTTATATGGTCTAAACCACACCCTAACCCTAACTATCACCAACATATACCTAACCTTAATCTAACCTGAATTTACACCTTCTTCCTAAACCTACAGTAACCCCAACTCAAAGAACAGAACTTTACCTTGGGGACCAGTTGAATGTCCCAATATGTATCTGTAATTCCCCACATGTTTGATATTTTACAAAATACTTTCTCTGTGTTGCAGGTAAAACAAAACCACACACCCACACACAGAAGTTTGTATTTCTGTCCATATTTAGACTTTAAATTGACTTATTTTCATTTTATTTATGCATTTATGCCTAACCCTGACATTTATCCTAACCCTAACTTTTACCAGTGTATTCTGAACCTTAACCTTGGACTAAATTTAAGTCACAGCCTAATTGGTAGGATCTTCCTAAATTCTTATTCTTTATCCTCTTTTTCTTTTATTTTCTTGATTATTTTTCCTCTGAAACACCCAATTGTGTCTTTTTTTCAACTATTCAGTAGCTGATGTTAAGGGAAGTACAGAGAATTTGGAGGTAGCCCCTTGAGTCCACTTTTGCAGTGTAAATGTATCTCTGAAACCAAAGATGTTTGTCAGCATGACTGCGCCACTAGCCTGCTTGATAGATGACACAGTAGGTTTCCAACTCTCAATCTGGCTCCTCCAAACACCCTTCCTACATTGTTATAAAAAATAAAACTGCAACATCATTAAGGTCAAAATACCAACTTATATATTAACATTTTGAAGAAGATTATGGTTTATCATACTAATATTTGATATATTTCTGGATTTATTTTTCTTTTGTTTACACAGCTGGATTCCTTACATTGAAACTATGCAATTTCTAATATTTCTGCAGCAAATGTCCCTATATTGGCACAGTAGAACCATTAGTATTGGCACAATCTGGTTGAATTGTAAAGTCCCTTTAGATGACGTGTTGTGAATTGGCACTATATAAATGAACTGAAACTGAAACAACCAAGTTCCTCAAATTAACCTTGGACTAAATTTAAGTCACAGCCTAATTGGTAGGATCTTCCTAAATTCTCACAAAATCTTACAGTGATATATAAAGAAAAAACTTTGGCAACCTTTATTCCCTAAGGTGGTATGTGGCTGAATTTCTACTTCACTGCAGTAAAAAAAAACAAAAAAAAAAAAAAAAAAAAACAGGTGTTTTGTATTGGCCTGTAGAAACATGCACATACCAAATGGCTCACAAGAAGTGACTGTGGATGAGATTACGCATCCCTGCAGCATTGGCATGTTGCTCCACAGGCGCAGGGGGAGAACCCCGACCCCGTCGGACAGCACTTCTGAAAAACGAGATTGGGAGATCCCAGCTCTCGCTGCAACCGTACGCTGGAATGACCCAGATGCAAAAAAGTGCAACGTTGCAAGGAGTTTTGTGATATCTGGTATTGCGTGGGTCCTCCTTGTGGCTGGCTCCAAATCCATTCTGAGTTCCCCCAACAGCTCCAAAATGGCAATGCTGGATAAACGATATGTTTTAAAGATCGTTTCCTCCTTCATTGCAAAAATATTCACACGGAGTGAAAAAATGCGTTCTCTGCGTCTCCTTGCTTCATTTCGATGTCTCCTTCTTGCGACAATAACCGCTGCCATGTGTGCGCAATTACGCATACAGACCATTTGCACCTTCTTTTGAAACGTGTTAAATATAGAGTCAGATACCGTTAGCAAAATTGTTTTTAGGTTTGATAAATCACTTTGCGAGTGCTAAATTAATATATTTACATGTTCTCCTCCCACAAGACGCACTTTTGCGTGTAAACGCCCCATATTGAATATTCATTGCAGAAAAAGTACTAAATGGATAAGAGGCGCTATTTAGCACGTTTTAAAGACCAAATCCTTTTAGCACGCTGTTGATAGATCAGTTTGTACATTTTTTAGCGTGCGCAGTGAAATAGCTCACGTTTTTATACACGCAAACCTTTGATAGATCCGGCCCACAGTGTATACAAAAAGAAATTTTGTTCAGTACAGCTCTCAAGACTTTTATATTTCTAAAGTGCAGCAGTGACAAAATGTAAACATGTTGATCAAATGTAAACATAACACTGGTGTATGCTGGTGAAGATTCTTAGACTGGTATATGATTTCCAACATTTTTTTTTACAACTCTAACATTCAGCGGTCTAATAGTAGGGAAGAAGCTGTTCTGGTATCTGCTGGACTTGCATTGTGTGGGGGAGGCAGAGTTATGTGATTAATGGGGAGCGAAAAGTAGTGATCATCTGACCAAACTTTCAGTTAACTGAGTTCACTAAAATGTCCACTTTATAGTCCCTACTCTATATAGTAATGGAGGGATCTAGGGGTTAGGGTGGACTTTCAGATACAGCCAGAGGGCCGGATCTATCAAAGGTTTGCGTGTATTAAAACGTGAGCTATTTCACTGCGCACGCTAAAAAATGTACAAACTGATCTATCAACAGCGTGCTAAAAGCATTTGGTCTTTAAAACGTGCTAAATAGCGCCTCTGATCCATTTAGTACTTTTTCTGCAATGAATATGCAATATGGGGCGTTTACACGCTAAAGTGCGTCTTGTGGGAGGAGAACATGTAAATATATTAATTTAGCACTCGCAAAGTGATTTATCAAACTTGAACGCAATTTTGCTAACGGTATCTGACTCTATATTTAACACGTTTCAAAAGAAGGTGCAAATGGTCTGTATGCGTAATTGCGCACACATGGCAGCGGTTATTGTCGCAAGAAGGAGACATGGAAATAAAGCAAGGAGACGCAGAGAACGCATTTTTTCACTCCGTGTGAATATTTTTGCAATGAATGAGGAAACGATCATCAAAACATATAGTTTATCCAGCATTGCCATTTTGGAGCTGTTGGGGGAACTCCGAATGGATTTGGAGCCAGGCACAAGAGGACTCCCGCAATACCAGATATCACGAAACTCCTTGCAACATTGCACTTTTTTGCATCTGGGTCATTCCAGCGTACGGTTGCAGCGAGAGCTGGGATCTCCTAATCTCGTTTTTTCAGAAGTGCTGTCCGACGGGGTCGGGGTTCTCCCCCTGCGCCTGTGGAGCAACGTGCCAAATGCTGCGGGGATCTCATCCACAGTCACAGGCCAATACAAAACACCTGTTTTTTTTTTTTTTTTTTTTTTTTTTTTCTTTTTACTGCAGCACATACCACCTTAGGGAATAAAGGTTGCCAATTTATATATATATAAATATATATATATATATATATATATATATATATATATATATATATATATATATATATATATATATATATATATTTACTTATTTATTTTTTTTGTTGGGGGTCACTGTAAGATTTAAATTTCTTAATGCACTAGTTTGTACAGACTACAAACTACTTTGCCGCAAACCACAAAACGCGCAAAACCATCATTTAAATAGGGCGTCTCCAACAGTTTTGCACCTTCCACCAGTTACGCAATCACTCTTGTTAAATCACCCGCAAACCATGGTTCAGCCCCTCGCGCAAAATTCCAGTTTGCGAGCGCAAATTACTGCACGCAAAATTGGATCTTGATAAATCCGGCCCAGAGAGTCCTACCAGCTTTCCTGTCCTTCTCCATGACATAATGCTACCATTCCTGCATCATTTCTGAACTGAAACCCATTTTTTTTGCCTGACGCTGACAGCAGCAAAGTTGTGACACCTCAGAATGAATTGTAGCGCTGTGTAATTGTTTGCACTGATGCTCTGCAGTTGTTTATAAAAGGCTTCCAAAAACTTTCTCAACTTTTGTAAATCAGCAGTTCTGGTTAAATCTCCTCTATGTTCAAAGTCAATCTAACGACTCCAGTCAAACACTTGCAAACATCTTTATCTTGGCAAGGAGACAGCAACAGCTGCAGTCCATCATCCTTACTAATGAGAATTTAACAGGCCTTGCCCTGGGTAAGTTACACAACATTCAACCATTTTCAGCACCATTTTTAAAAGAGATTTATAGGGGTTGTATAACAGCTATTATATGTAATTCTGACCCTTTTTGCCTTAAAGAAATCCGAACATGAATTACAAGTTAATCTGTATTTCAGTCTAATTAAAAAGAATGTTCATATTAGACTCTAATCTTCCTGTTATTATTAACTAGGAGGACCTTTGGGCTCCTTCTCTTCTGTAATCAATGCGCTGTGGGAAATCCAGATGGTTTTCTGGAATAACTCAGGATGTGGATATCATAGAAGATTTAATGACTGAGTGGACGTTACAGGTCAAGCAGATCCTGATTACATCCAAGGAAAACAATCAGCAGCTTTATTTTCTCAGAATGCATGACTCTCGAAAATTCAGAGAAAATGGAACAACTAGTTTCACAAACTAATCAGAGTGACTCACAATGAGCCGCTAAAGCATTGTGTTTGATGAAAATAATTAGGAACGCCTCAAATCAATTCCTCTAATATATAAATTTAAAGGGAAACTCCGTTTTTTTTTTTTTTTACATTGGGCACTTTATTTTACGTTATTACGTCATGTTCTACTCACCCATATGAGTTTTGTGTCATT